GGCAATCCAGTAGGTAATATGAGGCCACATAGTGGAAGTTCTTAGGAACTCAGTGGTGGTGGAATTATGAATCAATAAGTGATAGTTTTTGTGTTTTCTAGCCTATTTTCAGTTCTTAGTATTAGGCATAGTCTCCTAAAATCTCATAGAAGAATACACAGATGTGGAGGGTATAAGTCCTTTAAAGGTGTTTGGTACCTCCCGGGAGGTTTTGATTGACATGACTGGTGAAAAGAAAATCAGTGATGGAATGAAGGCCAGAAGAGGTAATCCTTACTTATCACTTAGCTTGTACAGTTTGCAAATCATTAGGGTTTATAAAATGATGACATTCAAATTATGTCATTCTTCATTTATTAGTTACATTATTCCCATAAAGAGAAACTTCTCATCTGTGATTTGATTATTTGGTGGTTTAGCTTATATATAGGTAAGGTAAATCAGAATAAATACTTGCTTCTTGCTCTTTATTTACCAGTTTTCAAACTAATGAGCTGGTTCACTAGCGTCTGATTTTTTTCCTTTTTTTAAATGAACTCTAGAGATTTGAACATTTTAGATGTGCTTTATATTCCATTGCATTTATGCATGCTCAGATTTTCTCATCTTTGGTCACTGGAAACCTCTTAGGTTTGCTCCTGAGTCCCTTTAATGTTATCCGGATCTTTGATAGTTTCCTTGCTTTCTGGCATAAGAAGGTAATCAAAACTCATCTCGTCTAACTTATGCCACAGATCTAGAATCAGCCATTTGTCCAAGAAGCTCTGATTCCTTTGAACAAGAAATTGTTTTTCAACATGGCTATCTGAGTTCATTGCCACTGTTGCCACGCCTTTTCAGTGTATAGTGAGTACTAGGAAATATGTACTTTTAAGATGAAAACATGAGTTCATACTGATAAATCCAATTGAAATTCAGGACTACAGGATTTTTTACTTTTCACATCTTATGACTTCCTTCCTCCTACTAAAAAAAATATCTAGATTCTCAAGGACATCAGCATTTACTTTATCCTACAATTAGACATTAACACTTTATAATAACTATAAACACTACCACCAAAAAATGTAATTTCTGAAAACAAAACAAGGATGTAAGGTTAGAGTCAATTTTCTGTTTTAAAGTCATTTGAAGTAGTTAACTAAATAGTTATACCATCAATTTGATAAGAAATTACAGTTTTGGTACATTTTACTTTTGATTTGTAGGAATTTCCTTTAAATTTTTTAGTTTTGTTATATAATTATGTAAAATATTTACATGGTTTAAAAGTTAAATGCTGCCAAACGGATTAAACCCAGAATAGTGTAGTGCTGTCCCTTTTCACTTTGTTCAGTCTCTCCTTCCCAGTAGATAACGTATTTCTTTTTAACCTTATGGTTTATCCTTTTAAGCGTGTACACATCTCTCTGTATGTATTAATATCCTCTACAGCCTTCCTTAGATTAAGTCAAGGGTACTTTAAGGGATTCCTGTATTGGGTAGAAAGAAGGTTGGACTCTGTAACTACTGGGGCCTTGTCCTAAGGCGTTTTTATTTATTTATTTTTAGAGTTGTACAAGCATCACCACGATATGATGTTAGAACATTTTAATCACCCCCAAAAGTTTCATTGTGCCCATTTACAATTAACCCATGCTCCTGCCCCAGACCTAGGCAATCACTATTTCTACTTTTCTGTCATTTTTAGACATTTTATATAAATGGGATAATACAATAATGTACTCTTTTGCATCTGGCTTTTCACTTAACACAGTGTTTCTGCACTTCATCATGATTTGGCTTGTACCAATAGTTCTTTTAATTGCTGAGCAGTATTCTTTTGTATGAATATACTACATTTTGTTTATTCACTAGTTGATGGACATTTGGATTGTTTTTGTCTGTTATGAGTAATGCTATGCATATTCACAAACATCTCTTCATATGGATGTATATTTTCATTTGTCTTCGAATAGGCTCCTAGGAGTAGAGTTGCTGGTTTGTATGGTAAATGTTTAACTTTTTTTAAAATAAATTTATTTTTGGCTGCATTGGGTCTTTGTTGCTGTGCGTGGGCTTTCTCTGGTTGTGGTGAGCGGGGGCTATTCTTTGTTGCGATGCACGGGCTTCTCATTGCGGTGGCTTCTCTTGTTGTGGAGCACGGGCTCTAGGCGCGCAGGCTTCAGTAGTTGTGGCACCCAGGCTCAGTAGTTGTGGCTCACGGGCTTAGTTGCTCTGCGGCATGTGGGATCTTCCCGGACCAGGGCTCAAACCAGTGTCCCCTGCACTGGTAGGCGGATTCTTAACCACTGCGCCACCAGGGAAGCCCTGTTTAACTTTTAAAGAAACTACCAAACCGTTTCCCAGTGTGATTTTCCATTTTCTATTCTCACTAGTAATATAGAAGGGTTCTGATTTCTCCACATTTTTGCCAACTCTTGGTATTATCCCTCATTTTGAGTTTATCTGTACTAGTAGGTGTGTAGCAGTATGCCATAGTTTCACTTTCCTTAATAACTAATTATACTGGCATATTTTCATGTGCTTATTATATATTTTCTTTGGTGGAATGTTTATTCAAATCTTTTGTTCAATTTTTAAATTGAGTTGTCTTTTTATTGATTTGCATAAAGTGTTTTTAATGTATCATGTTGTAAGCCCTTTATCAGATATACAGTTTGCAAATATTTTTTCTCAGTCCATGGATTATATTCTCATTTTCTTTCTTTCTTTTTTTTTTTTAATATTGATATATTTATTAGTCAAGTACTAATAGTGATTATACAGTTTTTACTCTTCTTTGTACGTGGGCCTCTCACTGTTGTGGCCTCTCCCGTTGCGGGGCACAGGCTCCGGACGCGCAGGCTCAGCGGCCACGGCTCACAGGCGCAGCCGCTCCGCAGCATGTGGGATCTTCCCGGACCGGGGCACGAACCCGCGACCCCTGCATCGGCAGGTGGACTCTCACCAACTGCGCCACCAGGGAAGCCCTATTCTCATTTTCTTAATGGTGACTTTTGAAGCACAAGTTTTTTATTTTGTGAATATCCATTTTACAATTTTCTTCCCCTTTTGTGCATTTGATGATGCATCTAATACTGCCCAGCCCAGTCATGGTTTTTTCCTGCATTTAGCTTTGCTTCTGAATTTTAGCTCTTAGATTTATATGTGTATGATCTACTTTGAGTTAATATTTGTGTATATTGTATATGTTTATTTTTTGGCATTGGGATATAAAAGTGTCTCACACAGTGTGTTGAAAATACTCTTTTCCCCTGTTGAATTATTTGGACAATCTTGTCAAATAGATCAGTTGACCATAAATGTAAATTTCTTTCTGGACTCTCTATTCTGTTCCATTGATTTATGTACCTATCCTTTTGCTATTACCATACTGTCTTGATTACTATGGTTATGGAAGATTGTAAAGTTAGTAGTGTAAGTCCTCCAAATTTTTTGTTCTTTTTCAACATTGTTTTGGCTGTCCCAGGTCCTCTGTGATTCCATATGAATTTTGGAATCATTCTGTTAATTTCTTAAAAAAGAAAAAGCCACCTGGGATTCTCAAAGGGATTATATTGAATTTATAGATCAACTTAGGGGAAAATTGCCATCTTGTGTGAGGCCTCTCTGTCTAACCCGAGCTTGTGTAACCTCAGGCTAGTAAGAGCTGAGCCGTTTGTCCTCCCCAACTGTCCAGCTTCTGACAAGTCACTTCCAGTGATAATGCCTCCATGTTTATGCATTGTCTTCTACAGTACTAAATGGAATGAGTCCCCTTCCATCACAGCAGCTTCCGGTTCTCACAGGGTAACACCGATAGAGCTGGGTGGTAGGGTAGAACCTGGGTAGCCCCGGAGCAGAACACCACAGATTCCCACTGTCCTTACCTGAAATCAGTTTTTCAAACATAAATGCTTCTCAGATGGTTTTATGTCTTTGGTTGTGAAAATGACTCTTTGTCAAAAATTTTCAGGTTTATAGTTGCTTTTAAGGGAGAGGGTTTGCTGATTTCACTAGCTATAACCAGAAGTACTTTCTGTCCCAGTCTTAAATTATGTAATGTATATGAGAAAACAGGTGCTGCTTTGAGTTAATTACTATTTGTCCTGAATTGGGAACCAAAGAGCAGTTCTTTGGGGAGCTAGTTGTTTTCCCCTTTTTGATTCATATGTATAGATCATTTATAGTTTAGGAGTTATATCAAGTTGGGGGATCACTTTCACTTTTATACTATATTGCTATACTTTGTGGACACTTGTGGTTCATGACCACGGTCATTGTGTGTTCTGTCAGAAGAATTTGAGCCCGGTATTATACTCTGTTTTTTTTAAACTACATTTAAACATTTTTTCCCATTGTCATTGTATTTTGATTTTCTATAAAAGAATTTAGTAATATTTCCTTTTTTAATAAATGAATATAGTTCTTTTCCATCATAACTATATTTTGGTCTTCTTAGTTTATGATTGGTATATACAATGAAATGGTTTGAAATTGTACTTGTTTCTGTGAAGATGCCATTGTACTGAATGATTAATGCCCTCAAAGGAAGTTTAATGGGGGCAGGGACTAACTCTCTCTTGCTCTTATCTTTTCCCATGTCTAACACAAAATAAACAGTATGATTGTGCTCAGTATGTTGTGGCATTACCAACAGTTGGGTTAGGTTGAGGTCCCAAGGGTTTTAAGCCTAGTTTGTGCTTTTAGTGACTGATCACCACCTCTTTCTAGCCTTTGGAGAAGAGAATAAGAAAGTGGACCAGAACATACTGATTTGGGGGAGAAACGCAGACTGAGGAAGATTCTCTTTGAGATAAAGGAATGGGGAATATGGCATGGAAGTGAAGTGAGCTATTGAGTATTTTTCTGTTTCCTGTAAGATACATGTTTTGTTATCTGGTCTGGTGAGTTTAATCCATCTTAACTTTACTAGATTACTTATAATCTCAACTTCAGTATATGAAATTATAAATTTATCTTACTAAATCTTTGCTTTCCTCCTTTTTCCCTCTTAGGACATTTGCTACAAGATCCTATTGCACCCACCAACTCCACCTGCCAACACTATGTCTGCAAAAGTTGTAAAGGCAAGAAAATGATGATGAAGCCTTCATGTAGCTGGTGCAAAGACTATGAGCAGTTTGAGGAAAACAAGCAGTTAAGCATCCTAGTGAACTGCTACAAAAAACTCTGTGAATATATAACACAGACTACATTGGCACGGGATATAATAGAAGCAGTCGACTGTTCTTCTGATATTTTGGCTTTGCTTAATGATGGATCATTGTTTTGTGAGGAGACGGAAAAACCCTCAGATTCATCCTTTACTTTGTGTTTGACACATTCCCCTTTACCTTCGACCTCAGAACCCACAACTGATCCTCAAGCTAGTTTATCTCCAGTATCTGAAAGCACCCTCAGCATTGCTATTGGCAGTTCTGTTATCAATGGTTTGCCTACTTATAATGGGCTTTCAATAGATAGATTTGGTATAAATATTCCTTCACCTGAACATTCAAATACAATTGATGTATGTAACACTGTTGACATAAAAACTGAGGATCTGTCTGACAGTTTGCCACCTGTCTGTGACACGGTAGCCACTGACTTATGCTCCACAGGCATTGATATTTGCAGTTTCAGTGAAGATATAAAACCTGGTGACTCTCTGTTACTGAGTGTTGAGGAAGTACTCCGCAGCTTAGAAACTGTTTCAAACACAGAAGTCTGTTGCCCTAATTTGCAGCCCAACTTGGAAGCCACTGTATCCAATGGACCTTTTCTGCAGCTTTCTTCCCAGTCTCTTAGCCATAATGTTTTTATGTCCACCAGTCCTGCACTTCATGGGTTATCATGTACAGCAGCAACTCCGAAGGTAGCAAAATTGAATAGAAAACGATCCAGATCAGAAAGCGACAGTGAGAAAGTTCAGCCACTTCCAATTTCTACCATTATCCGAGGCCCAGCATTGGGGGCATCTGCTCCTGTGACAGTGAAACGGGAGAGCAAAATTTCTCTTCAACCTATAGCAACTGTTCCCAATGGAGGCACAACACCCAAAATCAGCAAAACTGTACTTTTATCTGCTAAAAGCATGAAAAAGAGTCATGAACATGGATCCAAGAAATCTCACTCTAAAACCAAGCCAGGTATTCTTAAAAAAGACAAAACAGTAAAGGAAAAGATTCCTAGTCATCATTTTATGCCAGGAAGTCCTACCAAGACTGTGTATAAAAAACCCCAGGAAAAGAAAGGGTGTAAATGTGGGCGTGCTACTCAAAATCCAAGTGTTCTTACATGCCGCGGCCAACGCTGCCCTTGCTACTCTAACCGCAAAGCCTGCTTAGATTGTATATGTCGTGGCTGCCAAAACTCCTATATGGCCAATGGGGAGAAGAAGCTGGAGGCATTTGCTGTGCCAGAAAAGGCCTTGGAGCAGACCAGGCTTACTTTGGGCATTAACGTGACTAGCATTGCTGTGCGCAATGCTAGTACCAGCACCAGTGTAATTAATGTCACAGGGTCCCCAGTAACAACGTTTTTAGCTGCCAGTACACATGATGATAAAAGTTTGGATGAGGCTATAGACATGAGATTCGACTGTTAAATCAGTGGGTCTTTAAACCTACCTCTGGTAGGGAAATAGCTACAGTTTTACGGCAGCTATGGTTTTGTTGGTTTAACTTGCCGGAGCTCCTGCATATAGATCACTTGTATCAAGTGTTTTCATTGCTAAGTTATATGTGTTAGTGTCGGGGAAATAGTTTGCAGATAATGGAGGAGTAACCCTACAACTATATGTCCTTAGTTCTTACAGAACCTCATAGTTTGAGAACAAATGCTGATGCAACTGATTTATACAAAACGAACTTTGGCAAGGAAAATAACATTAACCTCACTGTTTATGGTCATGCTTTGTGCATAATCAAAGTTTATGATTAAATGTAAGGAAGTGGTATCTAGTCAGTCCATAAAGATTGTGCTCATATTTTGTGAAAAAGTAGCCATTAGTTTGTTCAGGAGACTCAGTGCTACCTTCAGATGCCATTGATGTTTCTCCTGTTGAAAAGCTGATGTGTCCAGCTCAACCTTTGTGCTGACATAATACCATTTCTGATCATGAAAATTGGCTACTGGTGTATGTAGCAGTTCTTAAATCAGCAGTATTATGAAAGAAAATTTGCCCCTCATTAGAATGTTGAAGAAATCTGTCTTTTAAAAGTGAACCACCTGAAATTCTGTCAGACTGCAGATGTTTAGCTGTTTATGCCACAAAACTCTTCTGAGTTGATCCCCATTTTTAGTTAAGTCTGACTCATTTCTAGGGAAAAAGACAAATCCTTCACTTTGAGCAATGTTCTAATAAGATAAATGAAGTGGAGAAGAACAGTTCTATTCTGAAGGTAATTGAATTTAGACTATGGTATGTGACAGAATGTTTTTAAAAATTATTTAAATGTTTTATTTAGAAATTGGGATTTATTTAAAATAATTTTGGAATAATGCTCCAAAAGTTACTCACATTTATGCATTATACCTATTGCCATTGGCCACTTCAAAGTGATTTTCATTTCCTCTGTTCGCCACAGACTTTATTTTGAATATGCTTTTTTCTTTCTTTCCTTTTTTTTTTTTTTAGGGTGCTATTCACTGTGGAGACTTCTTTATAGAGGCCTAATAAAAATGCCTTTTTATGAAGCCTGTGCGTTTAGGTGGGTTTGAAGCTAGGAGGATATTCTTTAGAATACTCTTTTGCATGTAAAGCACAAACTATGTTTCAGTTTAAATGTACTTCTTCCCTGTAATTTTTATGGGGGAGATAAGTGAGCCACAACATTCTGTTGAAGGGAAATCTAGTCAGTTGCTTGAAAGAGCACAGCCCAAATAAAACAAGGACTGACTAGGTTGTAAAGAAATGACCTTATGATTTAAAAGAAGAGTTGCTGCTTTGACAGTGCTTATTTAAAGAAAAATACTGCTGGAAAATTTTCAGTTTCTACTACGTTCACCATCTCTCCTGAGATCTGACATATGTTGAAGTTATGTTTTGATTTGGCACACAGCATGTTCAATGATGGTTACTCACCTAGTACAAGACATGGAGAAGAAACTTCTGGACACAGAGCAGATGACACCTTCTGTTTTGTAGTGTATCCTGGTGTCATTTTCTGTGAATGTGGTCAGGTAGAGTTGTTTTTGTTGTTGTTGTTGGGTTTTTTTTTTTTTTTGTCTCTTTTGGTGGGGGGGGGGGGGCTAAAGCCATAGGAAGAAAAATGTGATGTATGTGTCCAGTATGTACTATTTTGTTTTTGTTTTGCGAGAAGAGTTGAACTATTTTTGATAACAAGAGTAAATGGTGGAAAATGCTTCTTAGTTGTCTTGTCTTTATTTGCTTTCCAAGTTCGGAATTTTATTTAATTCCTCTAAGTGTTAGCAGTGTCTTATGAAACATGTATTTGCCTAAAGTTTGTAACAATTTTGTGTTGGACGCAGATGCCCTGCTATATAAACTTGTAAATCTGTTCTAATGATCACTGCAAATGACTAGAAATGAAATTGTACACATGGATGATTAGGATAAATTTTGCAAATCTCCCAGATTTTCCTAATATTATGATTTTAAAATTCCTTGAGTACTTTATTGCTTCCCAAGTTTGATAATCTTAGTTTTGTGTTTTTTGATGCATGGGAGGTTGGCAATATAGACAAAGTGAAAATCATTAGTATGTGAGGGCCTTGATTGTTATGTAATATTGCCAATGATGAATTCAGGTTTTTTTTAGCACAAGTTTCTCTTTTTTATGCTGGTATTCTCACTGCCACACTTTTGGAAACCTGTATTACACCTTAAATCTATCAATAAATGTTAGTTTTGTAATTCTATGTTGTAGAATACTGAGGAGTTTGGGATAGCACGCTCTGAATGGCCTGTATTATATGCATTTGGGGAAGAGTATTAATTACAGTGCCTTGATTTTTGCGTTGTTTTTCTTTATACCATGAGTTATTTTAGGAATGCTGACCAATGGCTAACAAGGGATGATTGAGAAATTATTACTGAAGTAACTGGATTTACTTCAACAGGATTTGAAACCACCAAAACAATAACAGCATTTAATATGACTCATCTTCACTTGTTCTTTTGAGTCCTTGTAATTACCATAAATGATCCAATGATCTTTCACCTTAGGTGACAAAGTTTTAGAGCTGACAGTTTTAGAGCTAATGTTTTTGATTAGTTCCCATAGGTCTACATCTCTAAGCAGAGGTGTAATACAGTTCTAGGATAAAGAATTCCTTCACTGTGTTATTAGTTTTCTTAAAATAACTCATTGGTGACCTTGCTGAAGAAAAGTAAAAGTTTAACAACCGATGAAAAGTAAAATTTCTTTTCCCATATCATAGGCAACAAATATAAAATGCTTTAGAAAATACTAAGTTCAAAGTATAGAATGGGAATCTAATGTGTGGATGGTATTTTAATTTTTCTCCCTCATTTTTAAAAAATTAAGTTTTAGGTATCCAAATAACAATTACACATTCTTTTAAAAGAATATACTATATATATAAGGGTAAAGTCTCCTTTGATCCCTGTGAACTTCTCACTTCCAAACCCAAATTCTATCCCCAGAGGAAATCACTTTTCATTATGAGGTGTTATCCTTCCAGATCTTTCTTTATAAAGTTTTCCCAGGGGTTCAAAGAGTTACTCTGTTTGAAACTCAAGTTTGTTTATAATGCTACTCTTTCAAACATAAAAATGAATTGCAAGTGTGATTAAAACCAAAAGTGTGTAGTGATTATCTTAGTTCATATTTGACAACTTTATTTAGTTTTGCAAAAAGGGAAAAAAAAAGTTAAATCATGCAGGCTTCCCCACCCAAACACACCATAACATTTCCAAAAGTTGAGCAAATGACTTCTCTCATTTGATCAATCTAGAGTTTTATAAACACTTTGAACAGAACACAATGACATAGATAAGATGCAGGGAAAATATACAGAATTTCATTAGTTTGATTACCTTGGCAATGTTATGCTATGAAACTCATTTTTCATTGACTAGCATTAAGATCATACCCTCAATTTAACTTTTATCAAGAGTCTTGGATATTGTAATAACTTGAAATTTCCAGTTGGGCAGTAATGATTATATTCTGCATGATCTTTACCAGAAAGTCAAATATATACTATCTTAGTTCCTCAGAATTCACATTTCTTACATTCAATACTAAGACGGGAGTACAGTGAAACACATTCTTAACGTCTGAAAATGTGATACTTTGGGTAACCTAAATTAAAAGCACTATCGTAAGTGGAATGATATTGTTAGCTGTACTTTTATAATAACTGTAGACTTCTGAAACCAATTATTGACCAAAGTGAAAGAGGACTTCAGTAAGTAGAAACAAGGTCAAGTACAGCCATGTAGTAAAAAAACCAAAATCAAATGTATATTGGAAAACTGAATTTTTGCTGAGTCTTAGAAATAGTTTAGATCATTTTGGCTAATAAAACCTTTAAACCATATCTGGCTTCTAACAAAATTTACCTTTTTAGCATTTTTATCTGAAAATGTAAAGTTGCTTTTGTTCCCTGGTAAAGGTTGGATGGGACAGACGGTAAATTTCATGTACCACATAAATACTTTTAATCCTAATAATTTACCAGTGTGTTTAGATTATTTTTTGTAGTGTTTCCAAAAAATTTAGTCACTTTTAAGCTTTTATTCTTTGTGAACTGTTAGAAACTAAGTTTTAATACTTTCTGTAATAGTTAAATGGAAGGTCAGTTTTGATCATGAAGGTAAAATAACAGGAAACAGGGAGGATACTGACAGGAAGGATTGCTAACTCTGTTAATAACTATACTCGTTGATGGTGCATTTCCTAAATTCTCCTTTTCTCCACTTTTTGCCTACCACAGCCCAAGGTTTGATTATTTCAAAGTCTGGCCGTCACACCAGGAAGGGAACCAATGTGGGGTGCAAAGGAAGCTATTCTGACATTTAGGACTTGAGGTTAAAACAAAAAATCCAGGAGAAAACTTGATGACTTTGACAGAAGTGGATATTAAAAAGTTTCTTGGGGGTTTCTTTTATAGTGTCAGAAATTTTCATGCTTTTTAATAGTTTATTTTCAATTTTATCTTCAGCAGTATTGCGGGGCTTGGCTGCATCGTGGCTTGCTGAAAAATGTATTCTGTGTTGACCACATCTACCACTATAGTAAACGTGAAGTTGCTTTCCTTTATGGGTGGCATCACTGTTTTCTTCCATTTTTGTGATAAATACTGAAGTGGATGCAATATTTGAAATAGTTTCTTTTCAACATGAAGTTAAGGAATAATGTTTGGATTGAGGCCTTTACTGTTGGCCTAGTCTAATATTTAGTAATGAATATATCTAGTAAGAATTTTCATATATAATTATTTAAGTCTTCAAGTAGGTCTTCTGATATGAAGTACAGATGGGACATCAACTAATTTTTAGATTAATCACTCAATAATTCTCTACAAATGTTAGATGAGTTAAAAGGAAACATCTTTTCCCCCCCAAGTACGAGTCATATTCTGTACTTGTCTTCAGTTAACAAGTTTTTCTTAAGATTTTATATAAGATCCACAGTCAGGATGGGGAGGGATTATTTAGAGCTTGCCAGCAAGGTTGGAAGGCCCAGTGGTTACAATACCTGAGGATGTAAAGTGACTAGCAGTTTGGCAGGTCATTGTGAAATTAGATTAAGTTCAAGATCTTTGAACTCCAGTACACATACAATTAAAAGAAGTCTCTGAGATGTTTTGGCAGTGCTTTTATTACCAGGGCTAATTCAGTTCTGGAGGCCCTGACTGCTTTTTCAAGTTCCAGAATTTTTTGACTCAAGTTTTCTGCAAGTGAAGGTTTCTTCTGGGCTCCATAGGAGCCCTGATGGGCCTCAGGGATGCTGGACAACAGAGGCAACTCCTGCTTTTGTGCAGAGAACTGTGCTTGGCACTGTCCCCAAGAGATCCTTGGTACATTCAGGGGTGAAGAGTGCTGATTCACAGACGTTGGAAGGTGATGTATATCTTACTTGCTTCTGAGGAAAAGCTCTGTAAGAGGTTTGAGGCAAACTGGAGGAGTCTCCCAAACTGGGTATGTGTATCCAGAGCTATTGCTCAAAAACGTTAAAAAATTGCTAGTGCTGCAGATAATGCACTTGCAGAAATCAAAGCCTTTAAAAAGCAATATGCAAACTACAGCATCTCTTCACAAGAAAACAACATTTAAAATACATATCTCCCTTTCATGTAGACATTGGCAGCTATTCTTCATCCACTGACTGAAGCTTTCCACATTTCTCTGAAAGGCTTGAGGTCACTATTTTATTGCCTTTGTTTCCAATTTCAGAGGGAGAGGCAGGTTCCTCTGTTTCATAATCTTCAAAGCTGAAAGAACAGCAAAAGTGAGTTACTGATTTTTTTAAAAGAAAGTTTTAATGTTTGGGTAGAAGTCAGTATAGCAAACTAGAGACAAGAGTAGCTAGCAGAAATACCCCGAGTTGCTAAATGGTAGCTGTGACAACTGAGCCACCCTGGAGGGGACAGTGCTCTGGAACAGAAAACACATTCTTCTCCCTGTTACTTATGTTGAAAATGGGCTGAATCAAGCCTTCCCTAGAGGCTTTGATGGGAATGAGAGCATTATGGATGAAGCTAGGTTAGGGAGGGTATGAGGTCTGGAAAGTATGAATTTTACATGAATGCTTTCATTGAAGTGGCTTCCATGCAGAGTGGGGAACTTTCAAATAGTTTTATAGTTTCCATGGCTTCCAAGAAGTATGTTGAAGATGTATATCTGTGTGTATATAGAGCAGACTAAAGTCCACTCATGGGTTTTCCTCCATTCTTTGCAGAACTCCACAGCATATTCCCTCTTTAGAGGTTACTTGTATTTCCTGAGTTCCATATCCTCCAGGCCACCCCTCCTGGCTATTCCAGGTAGGGATGACAAAATATTTTATCTCAGAATGATGGCTGCTTCATCTGTGCAGAAATTTCTGGATATATAGTCCTTTTATTAAAAAAAGGTACCAAGACTGCCTGGTGATGAAAAATATGCTGAGGCAGGAATACCTAGTAGGTGGCACCTATTCATAGAGAGTAGAGAATATTACATTTTTATTAAAAAGTTTATCTGATGTTTGGAAAACGTTGCCCTGAGTACCATTTATGATCCTGTCAGAAATTACTTAACTGTCATTTTGCAAAAATATTCTATACTTAATTTTTGTTTCCATTCCTCCCCCATCTCCTTGAGGCCTCAATAGTTATATGCCAGTTATGGTGTATGTTGAATAAGGAGGCAATAAGGAGAGTAAGTTTGCTTTAATGCAACTGAAGCAGGGTTGATGGTAGAGGCTCCATTTCTGGGCGGAAAAACTCTCAAAGAAAAGTTAATTCTAGAAATGCAGTGTCAGACACTGGCTGCTTATTTCCTGTCAGAATGGAAGGCATTTTCTTCCTCTTGGTAACCTAAATTGCTGTCTGTGAGCTCTCAGTGCAGATCTGGGAATGAGTTAAAGAGTTAAGTCTGAACTGAGACTCATTCACAGTAACTATTTGAGCTCCTGTTGCTAAGCATGAGCCAAATGCTAGGGATACAATGGTGAAAAAGACCGACCAGTCCCTTCCTCACAAAGCTTGTAGCCTAATGGAGGCCATCTGGAATAGTGGCTAAGTGGTTTAGCCTTAGAGCATGGACTTCGGAAGTTGAGTTCTAATCTCAGGTCACTTAATATGACTTTGGGCATGTAACTTAACCCCCCTGCATCAGCCTCCTCGACTAATAGCAGTTCCTACCCCTTATAAGTGTTGAAAAGAGATTAGGTGAGAGGGCCTACACATCATAAACTCTTGGAAAATATCACATATTATTCGCGTGATGGAGAAGTGCTGGGGCTTACTGAAGCAGGATGGTGACACCTCAACCTATACTGGGGGGCAGGGTCACAATTTTTTGTGTAATTTGTGAATAAAAAATCTTTTACAAAAGAGTATGTATTTTTCCCCACTGTAGCCGCATACAGAAGTGGGATTTCCAGCAATGGATTTGATCCAATCTAGTACCTAGAAGTATTCCAATGCTTTGTGGGTTGGATGTAGTAGAATGTCACCTGCATTTCTTTTGTACTTTCAAGGCACCAAGAGCAGTAATATACACAGAGACTTTGGAGGAATCTTAAGTTTGAGGGAGCTCGTTCAGAACCTCTTGTCAGTGTCCTTTTGTCAGTGTCCTGGTGAGTCCTTTTACCCTATAGTTCTCAGCTGGCGGTGCTCCCCCCCCACTCCGGGGGCCTTTGGGCAGTGTCTCGAGCCATATGTGATTGTCCCATCTGGGTAGGTCCTATTGGCATCTAGTGGGTAGAGTCCAGGTGTGTTGCTAAACATCTTACAATGTGACAGAAAGTGCCTCACAACAGAATTACCCAGCTTAAAATATCAGTGCTGTTGTTGAGAAACCCTGCTCTAACTCCTGCCCCATTAGGGTTAGTGCATCCCAGCATTCTGGACTAAGCTCTTCTCATTTTGTACTTCCCTGAGCAATCAGTTTTTCTATGGCTTTATCCACCACTTGTTCACCTGTGGTTTCTAAATGTACATGTCTAGCCTCAGCCTCTTTCTAAGTTGGAGACTGCCACGTATCCAACTGTCTATTATGTGGCTCTTCCCATATGGCAGCTTGTACAAACCTGGACTCGTCCTTCCCATACCCCTGGTTCTCCCTATTTTAGCAAATAGCACCATAATCTACCTACTCAAAGCCATAAACCTTGTTATTCCAAGCTCTTCTTCCCTCCTTTCCCCTTCCCTCTTCAAATCCAGCCACTCTCTCCTACCACTTTCAATACCACATGGATGCAGTCCTGCTTCTTCCTCTCTATTGCCACTGATTTAGTTCAGGATGCTATACTTTCTTTCTTGGATTATTGCAATAGTTTTCTAACAGTTGGTCTTCTTGCCTTCGCTCCTATCACATACCCTTTGCTTTTGCCATACCAGACTGTTTACAGTGTCGGAATAGGTCTTGGGACCTAACGCCACGGTACAATACCTGTTTTTCAGTGGCCTGCAGTGCCCTTCCCCCTTTGGTTAACTTGTGCTCATCTTTTAATCTGAGATGTCATTTAAAAGGTTCTTGATTCCCAGTGCCTGAGCTTCCACCGTCTCTTATTTAGATGTCTGCAATGGCCTCCTTATTTGTCTTCCTGCCTCTATTGCCCCTCTACCAATGTAGCAGAGTAATCTTCAAAAAACGCAAGAGGGGTTACACTACTACCTTGTTTAACTTTTTTCAGTTTCTCCCCTAGGCCCTGCATGATCTGGCCCCTGCTACTCCTTCCAGCCACATTTCCCTCTGTTGCTCACTATACTCCAGCTACACTGGCCTTTTAAAATGTCCTCAACACAGTTTCCTGCCTCAGAGCCATTGCTTATATTTTTCCCTCTGCCTAGAACATTTTTGCTCCCTGCTTTTTGCATAACTTTCCTTCTCAAATTTTAGGTTCTCATCACCTCCCTAAGAGATTCTTCTTCCCTCAGCATCCTAAGTTGCAAGCCTCTCTCCATTATCGGTTTACCCTGTTTATTTCTTTCATAACTGTATAATTAAATAAATGTCATCCCTACTCAACTGTAAAGTGTCCATTTTATAACTCACTAATTTTCTTGGGCTATATAGTCTAGTGCCTGGTGCTAGGTGCTTAAAATGTACTGTTGAATGAAAAATGATGCCCTAATGCTTTTGTAAAACTATGTGTTGAGTTGTTGGGGAAGGCTGGAGTCAGTAAAATGGTGAGGGTGCAGAGGTCACCTTGAAGTCACTAAAGTCAGAACTGCAAGAGCCTTAATCATTATCCTGCTCTCCAGGAATTCCTGAGGGAGAGAGAATGTTTACTGATTCCTTCTAAATGACCACTTCCAGGTTTACTCGTAGGTCACTGGGATTCCTCTGGGCTCAAATGAAATTATTTTATGAGGTATTCTCTGTTAATTGGCCATTTTTAAATGAGTAGAGTGGTCAGAGCTTTAAAGCAGAACTCATAGAGTTCACAAACAGTTCACTAAGAAACCCTAGATATCAAATTGAGAACAAATTCTTTAACTTAGTAGTAACATAGTAGCAACTACTAGTAACTTCATAGTTAGCATAAGGGAAAATGATGGTTCATATACTTTTGCAATTTGCAAAATACCAAATATATTTTTGCTAGCAATATGATAGCCTTTAGAAACCTGTTTCCCTAAGTAAGTTTCCCCTTTCAGATGAGCAATTTCTGGGCAAAAGTATTAAGGCTAGTTCTGCAGATTCCTGGGATGGAAGTATAATAGCCGGAATGAGGAGAAATAATGACTGGCACATATGTGGTCTGACAAAGAATTTGTATGCAGTTTCAGGGTGTTGTCTGGGAGTTGTGGTTTGATTCCACTTCTGGGATTCTGACTACAGGGGCAAAGGGATAGAATATTTGATTCAGAGCTTATCTGAGGAAATCTAAGATATATGCTGGCTATATGTATAAAGTAAACTGTTAAATAGTTCTCTGATTTGGAGTCTATAACACTTTAGAAATAGGAATGGATAAATTTTACCTTTATACTTTTAAGAACAGATAACCTAAGTCATTTATATAAAATGGATTACCTGAAATATCAATACTTTAGAAGTTGGATATTTGGTTCAGAGAATTTCCTTATTGACCCATTCAGTAACTATTATGGAAAATCTTTTGCTTCAACTTTTGTTAAAATTTCCTAATATGTACCACCTCCTTTCCTGCCTCAGAAAGTTGATCCTACTTCATTTTTAAAAAATTTTTTTGGCTGCATCAGGTCTTAGTTGCGGCACGTGGGGTCTTTGTGCGGGATCTTTCATTGAGGTGTGGGCTCTTCGTTGTGGCACCCGGGTTTTCTCTCTCTAGTTGTGGCATGTGGGCTCCAGGGTGCGTGGTGCAGCACGCAGGCTCTCTCGTTGAGGCACACGAGCTCAGTAGTTGTGGTGCGTGGGATTAGTTGCCCCGCCACATGTGGGATCTTAGTTCCCCGACCAGGGATCAAACCCGCGTCCCCTGCATTGGAAAGCGGATTCTTTACCACTGGACCACCAGGGAAGTCCTGATACTACATTTTTGATGGCTGAGGATCTCTTGCAGTTCTAGGGTCATGAGTCATCAGTTATTAATTCTTATTTATTTTGGATGTAGATAGTATAACAATTTTAGAATAAATTTTAGATCATAAAATAATGACTCAGAACTATTGGACTTGTAAGATTATAACTCATGCCCCAATGTATACACACACGTACCCCACCTGCCACGATCCCTGCTCTTCTGCTAAATTCTCCCACCTCACTCAGGACAGCCAGGCTCCATACAGCCCCTTAGCCC